ACAAAAAAAAAAACAAAAAAACCAACCAAAAAAAAAAAACCAAAAAAAAACCCACCACACCTAAATTCCCATGAGCTTCCCCAGGCCCAACTTCCTTCTGACTGTACTTTTCCACCTTAGCAGAGATCGGTCATCCTGCTTCTCCAAGCTTCAGTAATCACCCGTCTGGCATGGGACCTCGACTTCCTACTCTTCTGATGATTAATCCACTGCCAGAACAACTGGCCTTTGTTCTGGGGGGTTAATAATGCAAACTCATTCATCCAACTCGCTTGTTCTTCTCTTACTATGCTAGAAAGCACCGTGAGTCTGCTAGGAGCTGTGTCTGTGGGAGCACTTCCCTTTTATCCTTACCTCCCCACATTAGGCCTCTGATTGATTGGCCCTCTTTGCTTTTCCTGAAACTTGACAGAAGCAGAAGCCACTGCTGGCCTGGTTGGTCAGCTGGCACTTAGCTCAAAGCACCCCTGTTTTCTGGTAACGAGAGAAGGGAGCAGCTTTGATTTTGTACAGTTACATAGGATATTAATATGCATACAGTTCTATATTGGCTACACAGTGATAGCACTGGAGCTTCAAAAATTCATGCCTACCAGGACTTCTCCACATCTTTCTCCTGGTCTTTCCTACCAGGGTGTAGGCAGCACCCTAATTTTCCTTGGGTTGTCAACACCTTACAGGTTGACTTCGCCTCCCTTTTGAGGGATATGTGGCTCAGAGTCCTCTGGCCTGACCAAGTAGGGAGGCATCAGGCATGAAAGGGTCTGAATTTTTTGCAGCATTTTTCTGTACCTACACAGGAATCCAGAACCCGGAGCTGGTGGTGCAGGAAGCTGAGAGTAAACAGTGACTTCTCTGACCTCTTCTCTTTGCTCTGAGGCAAGGAGGAACAGGGAGAACTTTCTGAGCAAACTGATTAATCTTGCTACACCAGATCTTCTTGTTCTACCCTCCACTATGTCACTTTATTTGTCTCCTGCTAAGATGGCATGCGAAAAAAGTCTACTCAGAAAAGAGAAGACAGTTCTATGTAGTTCATGCAGGCTCTGTTACAAAAAAGGCACTCCACAAACACTGCAGGAATTCAGTATAACAATGAGGGCAGTAAAGTTGCTGGAGGAGAAAGGAAGTGTCAGTTTTTCCAGTACGATAGAAAAAGAGGAGGTTTCACCAATCACTGCAGGGAAGGGCTGTGGACTCCTCCAGCCAAATGGGGCTCTCCACTGGCATTTTACAGCCCTCTTGGAGTTAGCCAGTTTTAGTGGATAAAGTAGAGATGAAGCAGTTGGAAGTCATGAGTAAGTCTCTTTCTCTCCTCTATAGATAAAACCTGGCCACCCAGGCCTGTCTTGTCAAAAGTGGACAAGAGTGGAAAAGGAATTCTGGATGCACAACAGCAGGGACTCTGGGCTGAGAGGAATGAAAAAACTCCATGTAGAATATCTCTATGCTTGCAAGTTTAATGAAACCCACTAGCTTGTTCTAACAGCGGATTAAGATTAGCTGACCCATATTCATTAAAAGCAAACAAACAAACAAAAAAACCCATCAAGACTCCATCCAAATGTCTGAGGGTGTAAATGTGAAAAAGGTGCATACGTTTCTGTAGCCAGTGGCATAGTGCGGTCAGTGGCTAATACATTCTGTTAGCTGAAAGGTGAGAAGGGCCCCATAAGTGAAAGTAAAAAGGCAAGAAGGCTTCACAGTGACTGAGAATAAGGGGGGTAAAGGGGTATAGTTAGAGATAGTTTATAGAAGCAAGAATGTAGAGCTTGTTAGAAAATAAGGGATGGCAGACACTGGGTCTTAGATAGGGAGGGGGATGAAGGCCATAAAGATAAGGGTTTGAGAACAGCCCGAGGACATTTGGCAGGGAGACGATTAGATGTCCAGAGGACAAGAAGAAACCAGTCTGGGGGGATGCCCCCACCCCCGAAAGATCAGAAATTTACAGCTAAAAAGGTCAGAAGCCTTTGCAAGGAAGACAACAAATCTTCATCCCACAGCCCACTACGCACACGCAAGAGGGGGTGTCTGCATGCTGATGTACTCTTGTGGGTGTAATGAATATGTATCTGAATTCCAGGAAAACTATTGATTATGTGTTAGTTCAGCCTATATCTGTAGCATGATTTTTCCTGACAGTGTGCAAGTTAGGAGAATCTATTCCCCTTGCACCCGGTGTCCGAGCAGCACTGAATAAATAGTACCTGTTTTGTAATCTTACTTGGGTTACAGAGTTTGATTCTGCACATCATAGCCACAACTCACTAAAGTAGAGTCAGTAACATCTGAAAACCTCTCTGCTACCAGAAACAAACCACCAAATTTATTTGCAAATCCATAGCCTTTTCCAGCTCTCAGTGAAATCAGATTTCACTTCTGAGTCCTGTGTAGTTTTAAAGGTTTTAGCTATGTCCTGTATAGTAGTACCAAAAATGTGACTGTATGTAGTATGGTGCACAAGCCACACTGCACCAGAGGTTAACCTGCTTACTTCTTTGTGGCTAAATTCAAAAGCTTCAGGCTATCCTGCACCTGTAGGAAGTATTTCTAATAATGATTGTCTTCTGATTTTATCTTCTGATTGCTTGGGTCTGTAATCTCTGCTGCATTCACGTGGAACAGGAGTCTGGAAACAGTAGGTTTGTATGCATAAAGATGTGTGGGAGTAGCCTGGAGAAAGGATTCATCAGGGATAGCATGGGATGTTTACCTAGAAAAGAAGAGGGGCCTAGCTAGTTCTGTAGAAAGGAAGGGAAGGGAAGGGAAGGGAAGGGAAGGGAAGGGAAGGGAAAACAAAGAAATTTTTCTTGCAGCTTTTTACCTCAGTATATTGCAGATTCCCTGTTACCTTGCTGTCTCACAAAATAACACTTGGTCTGG